ACACATATAACGTAAATATATCTACTGTATAGTGTGAAGTTCAATTGTACGTCACTCAAAATCCTTGCGTTATAGTACGAATCTAATCAAGACCTCCCTAAGAAAATACTAATACTAAATATTAAAGATTTAGGCTTACTTATTTTGGATCATGTGACAAAAAAAGTCAAATTGTGTTGACCCGTATCATTAATGGGCATGAGAGGAATGGCTTGGAGTTTTTCCTCTTCATACACATGATGCTTGAAATTATATTTCAGGTCACGCACCTCACATAACAACAGAGCACTACCGGGATTTAAACCTTCAATGTATAGGTGATGTGACCAATTCTTTAATAACCTCAGTCCTTGCCTTCCCCAGGAAGAACGCTCATATAGCACAGTTTTCTGGACAGGGTGCGTTCGTCACCTGAGAAGAAATCATTGAGGGTCTCCAGCTCCTCCTGAACCTTCAAGACCAAGACATCCTGCAAGATCTCCTGCTGCTGCTTAGGCTCGATGCCCATCCTCTGTAGCTGGGGCTCAGTCATCCTCAGCAGGGCTCGGCCTGCAGAGGCACATTAATCAGTTAAACCAAATACATGAATGATTATGTGGGGTAATGAACCTGTAAACACACAAGCCAACCAGGAGCCTAATTAGTTTAATGCATAATCAAAGAAAGTGCTGAACTAATCTATGAAAGTACACTCACATCATTATGTAATGTACAGCAAATGCTAAATAAATTTTATTTGATGGGGAAAAATTGATGTGGAGAGTACGGTAACTCAGTGGGAGCGCAGTTGCTTCACACCTCCAGGGTTGTGGGATCAAGACCCACCCCTTCTCCATGTGTGCGGAGTTTGCATGTTTTTCCCATGTTCTGCTGGTTGTTTCCAGGTACAACCATAGTCCAATGACATGCTATTAGGCTAACTGGTGATTTTAAACTGCCCACCCTGAATGAATGTGTGCTGGTGTATATGCCCTGCGATGTGCTGGTGTATATGCCCTGCGATGTGCTGGTGTATATGCCCTGCGAAGTGCTGGTCTATATGCCC